GAAATTTGGTACAAAGGATCGCATTAGAGAGTGGCATATTTGCACGTAATTTTTTTTGGAAAAGTTTTCGTGGCCCCGCCCCCTACTAAGTTTTTTGTACATATCTCGGAAACTACTATAGCTATGTCAACCAAACTCTATAGAGTCGCTTCCTTTAGGCATTTCCATATACAGTTCAAAAATGGAAGAAATAGGATAATAACCACGCCCACCTCCCGTACAAAGGTTTTGTTGAAAATCACTAAAAGTGCGTTAACTGACTAACAAAAAACGTCAAAAACACTAAATTTTACGGAAGAAATGGCAGAAGGAAGCTGCACTCATTGTTTTTTAAAAATTGAAAATGATCGTGGCGTCGCCCACTTATGGACCAAAACCCATATCTCAGGAACTACTTGACCGTCTTCAATTAAATTCGGTACATAATATTTTCTTAAAACCCTGATGACATGTACGAAATATGGGTGAAATCTTCTTCGCCTTCTTTCAATGTAACGCTATTTTGAATTCCATCTGATGCCTTATAATATATACATTAGGAACCAATGATGATAGCGGAATAAAACTTTACACAAATACGGTATTTGATGCGAGAGTATAAAATGTTCGGTGACACCCGAACTTAGCCCTTACTTAGTMCTTACTTGTTTTAGCTGTGTTTATACAAATACCACAATGAAACATCAGATTATTGTTACCAGTAAAATACTATTACATTGCTCATATGGTAGTTTGCTAGTATTTGGTGACACATATATGGTGTTTGTACCATATACAGGTATTAAACAAAAACTATACTGCTTGAAGCGCTAACTTCGGGTGCAACCGAAAATTTTATTCTCTTGCAACTTGCAAATATCAAAGCCAGGGAAATCCTTTAAGGTGCAAAACGTCAACCAGAGGATCAGAGTCCAAGCAATTATTCAATGTATTAAAAACTCCCCTGCCGATTATTTGGTAACAAAATTGTACACTTACAAGCTTTTGACTTTGTAACGTGATTATATAAGTGTTTCGTTCTATGTTTAATTAATTTCTATTTATATCCTGAATAGGGTATAATAAGTTGACAACGATGTTTGTGACACTCAAAAGGAAATTTCGGTAAACCTATGAAATTTATAAATTTAATTGATTTGTATGGCGTATAACAATGTGAGTAGCAAATTATTTCAGAATTAGTACACAGCGTTATGAGGCAACGGGTAAGATATGGATCTAGAGTTTCCAATGACACAAAAAAGCCCCTATTGTATTCTACGAAAAATATAAATTTAGGAATGAAGAATTTGGAAATGCCATTTTTAAAGATGAGAAATTGTTCAATTTGGATAGACCAGACGGTCTTCATAGGATTTGGAGGGACTTACGACATAAAAGACAGACCTGTTACGAGCGAAATAAATATTCTGATATACATTGATTTGCCGAGCATTGCGAGAGTTTTTCGATTTTATTTACTTTCAACGCATTGTGATACCATTAATCAGCATAAACATGCCATAATTGAGATATGGGACAGAAGTTATCTAGCAACCTATAGAAACTATTTAACTATATGCTTCGCAGGCTGAATCTATTGAATCCATGAATGAAACCGCATTCCATATTGACAATATTTTTAACTTTTTAATTTTTCAAATTTTAATGCAATTGTTTAATGTAATGTATAAACTATACTTTCCATTTTTCTTTTAGCGATAATTATTATATATTACTAAAAAATTTTTAAAACTTTTATATGATTTATATTTAACTAGAGGACCATTCCACGCTTTGCTGTGGCTAATATATACATACTTATAGATGGTTCTATTAATAGCATTTATATGATTAATCAACTTTTTTAAAAAGATATGTAAACAAATTTTTGAAACTGAGGATCTATTAGTAGGTTCAAGCAACTTGTTTAAATTTTCATAAAATGGATCACAAAGCTTTGCGTGTATCTATAAAGCGTTGCCTTTTGGGGAAAAAATACTGTTGAATTTGGGCTTTGCACCACGGAAATCAACCTTTGTAAAGAGATTTACTAAGTTGAAAAGGAGCGAAATTGCACCGAAGAGGCGAAAGCTTTGTGCAAAGTGGGTGCCACGCAAGTTCATAATGGAACAAAAGCAACGAATTGCTGATTCTGAGAAGTGATTAAGTACTCTTTAATCGTAAGAAACCGAATTTTTGCGTCGGTGTATATTAATAGAAACATGACTACATCATTTCACACTGGGGTCCAAACGACAGTTAGCCTAGTGGACGGCACATGATGAACCAGTCTTCAAGCATGGAAAGACGAAAAAGTCGACTGGCTAGGTTATGGCATGGGTCCTTTGGGATGCACGTGGTATAATATTCATCGGCTGATTACTGAGCCAGCACACTGCGCTCATGGTTGAAGTTCTATTTTACTATTAGCTTGTTTTGTTTTTGAGGAAGGATTATTTTTGCTTCGAAAATATTTCTGTAAATCTCAAATTACTATATAATAGACATTTTTTATCAACACTGTTCAGAGCAATAATCATTATAACCCATATACTAAGTATACTTGCATGCGAAAATTAGTGTTCTCCCGCATTGGCACTGTGTTGATATTTTTTTACTAATTTCTTTCTTTCTTCGAGTAATGGAATTTTCATTTTTGAACACATGTTAATAATTTGAAATAAATGTTTGGTATTTATGATATGATTCAACTTTTAATATAAAGAGATAAAGAGATAAAAAGTATATCCGTTCCCTGGATTTAAGCTACCTCCGCACCAATTTTCAGCCAAATCAGTTCAGCTGTTCTTGAGTTATATGAAAATGGTGTAACTAACACAACTTTCTTTTATATATACATTAAGGTGGAGCGATAATTTATGGAGATTTTGATACATAAAACAAACATGCAAAATATCAAACAGCTGGCTTAATGTTTTGAGGTGCTCCAGTACAGTGAAATATTTAAATAAAACAAAAAAATTGAATTCTAAGCATTTATTACGAAAAATATTCTCATACATGACTTAAAATACTATTGAAATATAAAACTGTTTTTTTTTGTACTGAAATGAGGCAATCGTTGACGTGATAGCAATCTTGTCCTAATGAAACCATCTCGTTTATTTTCCCCACATACTGCACTCGATGCTTTTGTTAGAGTGTGACATGGAAAATCTGTAATATTCTGATATGTACCAAGACCGTTTTTGACAATGACTTTCAAGATTTCATCAGACATATTAACATTTAAAGTTAGAGGTGGCTCAGTTATATCACAGTCTTGTCACATAATAATCTCAGTGTAATCTTTGGCATCGAAATTGTATTTTCGAAGTCTTCGATCATTCTCTGACCTTGCTTGTACAATCCTTCGATATGCAAGAGCTCTTATAATCTCTCTGTCATCACCAAGCATGGCAATGAGAAGATTTTCTGGGAGACTGATTGCTTTCACATCGGAATTCAAATAACTACTTAGGCTTGCCATATGTTTTTACATTACATTTTTTTCTAAACCACATTGGTCCTTAAACTTTCATAACGTACGTGGCTAATACAACTAGCTTTTCTTTTGAGTCAGTTTTAGTGGCATACAATGTTAGAATTTTTTTTGATTTTTGGTCGAGTAAGAAACTTACTTCCTCCTTGTCAACACGACACCCATTTAAACAGCTACAATTTCTGGTATCTTTACATTTGCAGCTGCAGAAATCAGATAATCTATGGGACTCTGATATAAATGTTCTAATCTTTTCTTGGTATTTTATGTTGGTTTGACGGCCTTGATATGGTTTCATTAAGTTCCTGTATTTGGCGTGGTAGGAACGAATCAGCCAGTTGTAAAATTTGATGTAACAAACTTTACTCTACTTCAAATTTAAGAATATACAGAATTAACAGATGGCAATCAGTTGCTTACTTAAATCTACCGTTATTTGGATATCCATATTGTTGGCCTAGGATTGTGTAAAGTGAGTGCCTGGGAAAATTAGCATAACATATGGAATGTGGGTAGTTTTGGAGTGTGGAATAAGGAATGTGAAATTAAAGTGCGGAACGAGCTATGTTATTAAAATAAGATTAGAGAGTGATATGTATCTTTTAAGATCATTTATAAAAGGTGCAAATTGCACAATTTGAACCGATTATGGCGCGTTTCAATATCTTGATATTTTTTTCATACATTTATAAAAGGATCAACATCCCACAACAACTATGCCTACTTCTTATAAAAGGGTGATCTATTTTGAGGTTCCCCACTTAAAAAAAAAAAACACAGAAACTTCAAATTTATTGGAGAATATTTATTATCAYTGGAAAGGCCATTCTTCGGCATTTATTTTTTAAGGCTATTTCTTTCAAATGTTGGCACGCGTGATGTTTTTCTCCAAGACCTAAATCGAAACAGGATTGCCCGCATAGACTTTAAACTAATCACGGGCCCACAAACTACACCAAACCGGTTTTTTTTAATGAAATGGCAGCTCTTTAACCTCTTCAGGTTGCCTTTCAACATACACATTGCGTCAGAAGTAGGCCTCATCCCAGAACAAAATTTAGTTTGAAAGTGTCGGATCTTCTTGAAATATTTCAAGAGCCCATAAAGAGACGCGATGTCTCTTGGGAAGGTCGAGCGTCAGTTCTTGCACTAGCTGTTTTTGTATGATTTCAATGTAAGATTTCTACGTAAAATGCACCAAGTCGATCCATACAACACTCCCAGTTGCTGCGATTGGCGCCCAATCGACTTAGCTCTGGCTATATTTTCTTCACTGTCAATAATGAATGCAAGGTGATGGTGTTGCAAATAGTACGTTCATATGTTGTGTGAAGCGCGCATTTATTGTTAAATACAATATAAAGCTTTGTAAAACCTCAAAGTATTTCCACGCTTGTGAATCTTGCAAATCACTGAAGTATAATAATTCGGTTACAATAGAGATTAGCTTTTGCATATTGGTATTCGTGTTTTAATTTGTGATTATTAACAATTGTACTTATTTATTTACGTACAGAATGCCATCTGTTGACACCTCAAGCGAAGGGCCCGCTCCTCAAGTGCCCAAGACCGAATTGGAAGAATTACAAATAAAAGCAAATAGTGTTGCAGATGAGGTAAGTGATTTAATAAATATATATAATATATAAAACTTGTATTATGTTTTTTTCTTAGATTATAGGATTTACAATCAGTTAAAATTCCGTATACTTTGTTTTCATTACATTTTAATATAGACTTAAATGGTTTTTTTTTAATTTTCTCTCTTACTTTTACTACTCGTATAATTAATTTTTCACAATTATCGTTTTGAGTGGTTTGTAAGTTTACAATATAAATGGTATTATTTCTATTGGTTGCAATACCAACATTAGGCAAATTCTAAAGCTGAGAGGTGAGAAAATTCCAAGTCAGAGTGATGGTACTAGGTYAGTATAGTAAAATCCTCAAAGGGTTTGGCATTCGTATGTGTCAGTTTTTTTATGACCTTTTAAATTTTTTCCTTATCTTTCTTATGGAAAACCATGGGTTCCTTATGGAAAACCATTTGAAATAAGGAAACAATTTAAAAGGTCATAAAAAAAAAAACTGACACATACGAACGCCAAACCATTTGAGGGTACTATACTGACCTAGTACCATCACCCAGACTTGGAATTTCCCACCCCCCAGATTAGCTGTTGTACTGTGTTATTTGTTATTATCTCAAAATCATTATGATCCGGATTTCCGGCTAACCATTTCCAAGGTGTTCCAATAACTTTAATTGATCTTTTAGTTCTTTTGTTTGTTCATAACTGTTTTATGTAAATGATTTCTAATATTTTCGGCTTCCAGGGATAGGAATGAATAAAAAGCATGGGTATGATTGATTGACGATTTCATGGTAACTTCTAATTTGTTAACGAGATTTTAATACTCCTTTTGGTCTATGTGATGAATAATTTTAAATTTTCCTAATTGCAATTTTGCGATTAGCTTTTATTAATTAATTGTCTTGTCCTATTGGGATGATTAACATATTCGAATAGATGAAATTTGTTCTTTATTAGGCTTTTACGGACAACTTTTCCTGTTTCAGTTATGATTGTACTAGTTTTATTTTATTGCACTATTTCTTTTCTGTATMTAACTGACAACTTGTTGCCTAATCGCTTATTGATTTTTACATAGATTATTTCTATTATCAAATATGACTTGAATGGTGGTTTTCCTTTTTTATGAAAATAAATGTCTGCTTCTTCTTTCTTTTTTAATAATTCTCTATTGGTTCCTTGAATAACTCTTTGGATGTCGATCATATTTACTCTCTTTTCATATTTTGCATTGTGAGGTGATATGTTTAATTTTTGCTGTCATCTGTGGAAAATAAAAAATTCCGTAATAGTTGCAAATTATTCTCTTAGTCGTTCCTCTGAGCTCTTAAATGTTCTTTTATAATTTCGTTCTCCTGATCTTAATAATTCTCTGTTCTGGATTACTAATTTTCTAGCTTAACAACCGTGATGCTTAAAATGTAATATATTGTTTGCAGCTTGCCTTAAATGTCATAAGTAGTTTTAAATGCAATTCGTAACTGAACCGTTGAGATAACGTTTAAATATCTGACATTTTTCGTTATTAAACTCTTTTCTCTAATTGTATATCTATGATAGGTTGGGTGATTGATTTGAAATTTATATAGGAAGTTTCTCCAAACGAAAGAATTAATTGTTTCTTAAAACGGTTTACCGGAGCTTCGGTAAATTGTATTAATTTTAGTGATGAATTTTTAGGACTATGTTGGGTAGCAGACATTGAATTTATTTGAGAATTAATCGGTGGCTTTAACAAGGCATCGGCAACTTTATTAGTGATACCTAGTTTAAATTTTAATTCATAATTATACTCTTCAAGCATTTCTTTCCATCTTTTAAATTTGCTATTTGTGTTCTTGTTACTTAAAGCGTAGGTCGGCTGATGGTCTGTAATAACTTTTTCGGAACCATATAAAAAATTTCTGAATTATTAAGAGCCCATATTATGGCGAGCATTTTTTCACTCTTATTAAGCGTTCGGGAAATGAACCCGATTAGATAATTTAGCATAACATTTTGTGACGTTAAGGAACGTTTTAATTTATTAAAAGCTTCGACTGCTTTTGTGTCAACGTGAATTAACTTTTTACTAGACATATTCTTGGCCATGCGCCCCTCCTCCTCTCTGAGATGCGCTGTCAGGGGGTTAGCGAGTTTCGTATAAATTTTTATAAAGCATCTATAGAAACTGCTCATGCCAAAAAAAGACCAAAGGTCTTTAAGAGTTTTTGGGATAGGAAACAAATTTCATATTTATTGCTTTAATTTTAGTCGGGTTTGTTCTTATTTCATGAGTGGATATTAGAAAGCTTAAAAAATTCGCTTTTGTAGAGTTGAACCTTCATTTAAGAATTTTGGAATGTCTAAAAAATAGGAATTTAGTAATTCTATTATCGCTTGTCTTACATTCAACGTAAGGTAAGGAACCACTGGTTATTCCAATAATATGTACTTCTGTAGGATCAGTATCGTCCATATTGTAATCATATTCGTATTCTGAATGATTTGGATATTCTCCTAGATATTATTCATAATTATACTCTTCTTCTCCATTGTTGTATTTTTGATTCCATTCTAAAAATCAACAATGTCAAATTCATCGTTTCKTTGAAATTTTGTAGGATTTTATTTTTGTAATAATACTGGAGGAGGTCGTTTTCCTAAATTTTTATTATTTTAGACATTTCAAAATAGCTTCCCAGTTTAAAAGGGTATCTTAAGATTCTAAAATATTATCGGTTCCTTCGACTATCTTATTTCTTATCACATTTAAAATGGCAAAGTACCTAAGAGTGCTTTTAATTGATTTATAACTATTTGGTTGCCAAATATCTCCCCTCCTCCTTTTTCTCTTTTGAATTTCGCGGCTAATCAAAAATCATGGAAAACATCGTGTAAGATTGGCATGTGTCATCTCGTGACATCGCCCAGAAGATGGAAGTTAGTCACCAAACCATTTTAAACCATCTGGAGAATGCTGGATAAACAAAAAAAGTTTGATGTTTGGGTGCCGCATGATTTGATACAAAAAAAAAAAAAACTTCTGGACCAAATCAACGCCTGCGATATACTGCTGAAACGGAACGAACTCGACCCATTTTTAAAGCGGATGGTGACTGGAGACGAAAAATGGATCTCATACGACAACGTCAAGCGAAAACGGTCGTGGTCGAAGGCCGGTGAATCGTCCCAAACAGTGGCCAAGCCGGGGTTGACGGCCAGGAAGATTTTTCTGTGTGTTTGGTGGGATTGGAAGGGAATCATCCACTATGAGCTGGCCAGACGCTTAATTCTACCATCTACTGCAAACAACTGGACAGCTTGAAGCGCCCATAACTGGCCGACAGGAAGGGTGTAGTGTTCCACCAGGACAACGCCAGACCACAGTTGATGACTCGTCGAAGCTACGGGAACTCAGATGGGAGGTTTTATAGCATCCACCATATACATAGCGCCAAGTGATTATCACTTGTTGAACGTCCGAAATCTTATCTGACTTGTTAAGATTAATTGGATTTCTGTCATCTATAATAAGATCAACTCCTGTTGGTAACTCCTTCGGATTTATTATTGCTTAAACTGTGCTTTTACATTCTTTTTGAACAATTCTGTTGACGATTTCTGTGCTAAATACCTCTAATTCAGGTGTGGCATTACCGATTTGTAAGTTTTAAGGGGTTGAAGAAGTATTTTTTATCGTTTTGACGGGGTGGATTTGAAATTTGGAAGTAGGTCTTATTATATTTTTGTTCGGTTTTTGTTTTTCTAGTAGGATTTAATGCTCATTATTATTTTGTCTTATTTTTTTTACATTCTTAACTTGCAGTAAAACCAAATTTAACCTATGCTCCTCCATCTACGGTTGTCCATTTTGACTGTCCTTAGTCTACTGGGATCTACACACCTTGTATTATGGGTTAAATGACGAAACGGAGTTTTAAACGAATAAAAACGATATAAAACAACTTTCAGAATTAATGTTGGTCACCACTTATAAATAGACTTGTATAATTTTTTTTCTAAGCTAGCGAAAGCGGAAGCAATTTATTGAGTTTATCTTCAGAACTGATTATCAAAGTTCAAAAATAATTTTATTAGAGGTGTGTTTTGCAACAGCGCTGCTGCGGCAAAGCAAGGTGTCAGCAATTTTTCCCGTTGGCGCAGTCCGTAAAGCCTTTGGTCATCAAAAATGACTTTGCACATATGGGTCATTATTTATGGAGTTTATTTAGCGTTAACCTACACTCCTAACCTACAAACCTGTAATTTGACACCGGGGATCTCCTACCGCCGGTGTGAAAATGGATGACATCGGAAGATGACCCAGCTCCCTCCCCGTATAACGGAACTGTTCAAGACTACACTATAAATCAATAACTAATTACGATAAAGACATTCAATTTTATCCCCTATATTGAATCAGTGGGCCTTATGGAAGCCGGTGTGAAAACTGGACGATGGGCACAATATCGCCCACTTTTTGGTGAAATCACATGGTGATTTCGACTAAATTTAGTACGTAGCATTCTTCTTATATTCCTATCTATCTATCTTGACTATCTCACATATAACACAATTTTCAATTCYAATAAATTCTTTCACTTTCCAGTACAAAAATTCAGAAGAAATTAATAAAGGGGGCCAAAATTTGGTTCTAATAATTATTTTCAAATATTCCATCTTATGACTTAAACTCCTCAAGCCCCTAGGTACCGAATACGTTGGAGTATTTAAAGTTGAATTTTGACCGACAAAATCGGTCAAAGTGTGAGATATAGTTGCAATAGCAATTCTGTGTATTAAAAATTGGTTGAATCGGGTCCCAGAGGCCTCATATGCTTTATATAAAGATTTTCTAACTTCCAGGTGATTTTATGCTGCATACATATATCGGCCAATATTTTAGTTATATCAATGAAAATTACAGGAAAGAGTCATGTGTAGAAGTTCACCCAAGTGAGGAAAGTTCTTTAATTGCCATTCACTTGGGAGTGGCCAGAAACGATTCTCTACGATTTCCGATCCTAGACCAATTATCC